GAATTATAGCGTTTGTTATAGCGCGACTGTTGAAATTAAGTGTATCGCAAAGTTATATTCAGAGAGACTAAACCAGTTTTATTTAAGAAAGGACTTGTGTCGCTAAAGTTTCGTCGGAACGAATTTACGGAAAATTAACTAACAATATATTATAAATGTATGAGCGTCTTGATTGGGATTTTATTTTAACAAATCGTTTAAAGAATAGTTTTGCACATATACTACATATTTAAACAAAGCTTATACATCTGATAGACGGTCTTTTGTTGTCATTGTTCTTTTATGTCAGACCTAAATACTGTAAGCTCTAAAAATAAATTGAAAAAATAAACAAATGATACTGATATACATTTTCTTTGTTTGAAGTTAAGCACAAAGCTACACAATGGGATATCTGAGCTCTGCCAACCACGGGTATTGAAACCCGGATTCTAGCGGTGTAAGGCCGCAGACATACCGCTGTGCCACTGGGGGGTCTGATATAAATGTCCACAAATAACTTTTTTCTTTCTAAACTGGAACTCCGAATTTCAGACGAACACTATTCCTTGAATTTACTTATTGATAGCTTATACAAGATGAAATATTAAATTTAAGAAATTGCGCCGTAAAAGTTATTTAACTTAATTTACTCTTAAACTTGATAGTAAGGTAGGTACAAAAGGAGCCAATATTTTTAATCTAAAATTAATATGATAATAAAAATCGATTAATTACTACAAATCTATCACATAGTTTTAAAAATGGTTATTTAAAAAAATATAATTATTTATTTATTTACCACAGTAAACAGTTTACTAAATATTCATAAACTTACAATTGAAAGACTGTCCTTTATCATCCGACCCTTTGTTCTTAGATTTCTTTAACGGCATTTTGACTGATGTTTGATTCCCTGGCAAACAGAAATCCTTTTTAGCAATTGACGTTTGAGAATTTAACCTCGAAGTCTGTCTTAGGTTTTCCTTCCTTGAGGGATAGCTTTTTTATTTAACTGTTCATCAAAATAAATCCTCACCACACTACAATATTTTCATGATCACTGACAAAAAGTCGATCTTGTAATCTTTTAGCGTTAGTCAAAGAAGGATCAAGGAATGTAGAAGATGAACCTTCAACTGACACACTACGTGAGCAATAGCTTTGTTAGTCGTAGAAAAAGTTTGAAATATCTTTTCTATGGAATCGTATGTTAGTGCTTGACTTCCCCTGTAAAAAATACAAATATTGAACATTTTAAACGATATATTTGATATAAAAGAAAATTGCTAGTTATTTATAACCATTTTACTAGCTTCATAAGTTTATGCCAAACACTTAAATCATAAATAAGATAATCAAGTATGTGCTCTGAAAGAGCATTGTTTTATTTAAACTTAGAATTACCGATTGTGTCCATGGACCCCATCTGACTTTTAAAATATTTGTTTATCCAATTGCTTGTAGGTCAATTATTTTGTTTGCCATAGGGTCTTTAACAACATATGAGTCACACAAAATATATAAACAACAACGCCATCAATATCGCAATAAATCCCACTAATTACTGCTGGTGTCTTCTATATATATTTTGTACAGAAAATGAGTGATTCTATACATTTTTCTTCCTTTTTACAGTGTGTTGCAACAAGCAAACACATAAAATGACATAATATAATGCAATATGCGATAACTAATTAATTAATATTAAGACATTTTTCTTATTGCTTAATAGTGAGTCATTTTTCACGTGCATAACAGGCTAGTACTTTTAGTGTGAAATTCATTGAAATTTCAGTATTCTACTTAATATTTTCTCTAACAATTATGCAGTGAGTAAAATGAGTTCCAGAGCCAAAAGTGTGAAAGGAAAATTATTAATCACAATTCTATGAGAAGTGAAATTAACGAAGGTAGTTTTTATGTTGATGAAAATGATAGTGACACAAGCTTTATCATAATGATATTTATAACGAAAGGTATGTTGATACTGATCAAGAACTGAAAGAGTATTTGTCAAAAAATTAGAAAGTGGTGTGGTTTAGATCAAAGAAATAGTATTCAACTAAGAAAAGATAATCTGCGAGCGTTTGCAAATAAACATCAGGTCCAACTAGTTATGCAAGAAGAAATATTGACACAGCATTGTCTGCATTCAATCTACTCAAGAAAAAAAAATGGCACTATGGAGAACGTATTGAATAAAAAAGAAAAGCTTTATCGAAGGAAAAGATAGTGTATAAACATCAATTAATTAAATAATCGAACAGCTTTGGAAAGTAGACAGTGGTAGATCAATTTTTCAACAAGCAATGGCACAGACTTTTTAAATAGATTTACTTTAATCACAAGATGCTTTGGATTTTATGATGCTGAAGGGAAAGGGAAAAACAAACAAAGGAAAATCTTGATCTTATGAAAAATATCTTCAATGGATAGGCGCAAACTCTTAAAAACTTGGACTTCCTGTAACATTTACATGCCTAATTTTATAATTCTCAAGTATATAAAGGAAGAGAAGAACGAGAGTCAAGAAAACAAAAGCAAGAAGAGAAGATTGTGTGGGAGTATGAAATGTAATAAAGTACCTTACTAGCAAGCACTAGTTGGTTAACCCTATTTTTAGTTGATAGAGCATTCTCCTGGTGTGAAAGACCCCGCGCGGAGGGCAACAAATGATCCACAAGACATGAAACAGTGGACGCAGTGTATTAATTTTTTAACGAATTTGATGTTGCGGTATAAATCTATACTATTATTCTGCTTGTTTGTATGTACGACCGTTACGCTTTCTGACCGAGAACCTGCTGCATAAGCATGCTTAGTTAGAATGTTTCCCCACGAAAAATCGCGTTTGCGCATTATTCACTCAACGACAAACAGTCTGCCTACGGAAAAGAGCTACAAAGTTCAGTGATCAAGTCGCTACAATTGCTGTATGAAACAAGAAATGACAACAAAAGGGGGATGTAAATATA